GCTGACGCCTCGCGCGGCTAAAAGCCACGCTGCAAGCGGCGCCGCGTCGGTTCAAGGAGAGGGGTGTGCGGTGAGCCACACACCCCACCGTGAGGACCGATAAACATGTTCACGTGACACGCACCGCGCCCTTGACGCGGCCATGACGGCGGGCAGTTGTTTGCGTGCAGCAATTGCTTTCGGCGGCCCTAAACATCCGTCATGCTCTCCACTGAGTGCGGGTTGAGGTGCTGGAACAGAGCCTTGTGTCTCTCTTTGGGTATCCCCAGGTCAGCCGCGGTTGTGTTCATGCCTGCGTAAGTGCCGTTGGTCAATTAGACTTATGTAAGGACGCATGCATGCATGCACGCAACCGAACAAAGTACATGCATTGATATGCCTCAGTTGGCTGCAGGACTCTAGCGTAGCCTCAATGGGGTTGACTGCTGCCGCGCATGGTTGAATCTGAGCTTGGACAACTGCAACCCTTTGGGACATCTGTGGTGTCGGCGGCGGCTCCGGACCAGCTCCAGACGCTGCATGCATGGCCGAGTGCATGGTGAGTGGTGCTCGTACTGTTGACCACACGCACCGCCCGCCAATCTTCTCCTGTGCCGCCACACATGTATACATTGCGTATGCCACACAGTCTGTTATAGAGACACGACGAGTACCCACGGCACTGTAGAATCATCGCAGATCTGACGCAGACATCACCTCGCTTTCGCCCAAGCCTGCCCACACAACCATGCAGACCCTTGCCTCTCGCTCAGCTGTCGGCCGCAGCACCGTCCTCAATCGCAGGGATGCCCAGCGGCGCCCCTCCCGCGTTGCCGCTCCTCGCAGCGGCAAGGTCGTCCTTGTCGCGCCCCGTGCGTACTACGGCGCCCCCGGCTGCGGCCCCTACGGCCCCAACAGCGAGCAGGCGCGCCAGGCGCGCCGCATGATGGAGGAGATGGCCAGGCAGTGGGGCGGTGCCATGCGCAACGGCGGCTTCTCCTTCCCCGGCGGTCGCGCGTGGTTTGGCGCAGAGGGCAACTGCGGCAATGCAGCGGAGGGGGCCGACGGCCCCAGCTCTGCCGACCAGGCTGACGCCCCGGCCTGGCAGCTGGCCGTGGACCTCATCAAGGAGGTGAGGCACGGTGGTGCTTACTGAAGAATTCTATGCCCCGCATGGATGGGTTATGCTATGGTGTGCATCCATGCGCTTTCTACAGGCCCCCTCCTGCATGCATGCGCGGGCCTCACGAACCCTGCTACACAGTATGTGTGGCTCCCCTGCTTTCCTTCATTGCCCATTGATCGAGAGCCAGTACTGTTCGTCCCCGCAGGTCTCCTCCTCCCCTGCTTTTGCTGACCTGGCAACCACCTGCGTCCCCCCTTGAACTAACCCCCCAATCGCAGTCTGACTCGTATATCATCACTGCCGACGTCCCGGGTGTGTCCAAGGCCGACCTCACCATCAAGCTGCTGGCGCCCGCACCCCCCAAGCAGCCCTCCGCCGTCCTGCTGCTGCGCGGCACTCGCCAGGCCAGTGCTGTGGCGGCAGATGAGGGCGCTGATGTTCAGGCTACCCCCCTGATGTGCGAGCGGCGTCGTGGCGCGTTTGAGCGGCGTGTGAGGCTGCCCGAGGACGGTGAGGATATTGCATCCGAGGAGGGTGGTGCTGAGCTTTGAGGGTGTTGATGGTCAAAAATCATGGATGTGGTTCCTTTGCACACCAGTTGCTTGCTGCTGTATGGGCTCCGTTGCCCATCCAGCGTCCCTGTTTTTCTGACCGCCTTCCTCTGCACCATTAACTCCCCCTGCCCCATGCAGCCGCCACCACCGGCATCAATGCGCGCGTCAAGGACGGCGTCCTGATGGTGCGCGTCCCCCGCGTGCCCAAGGTGGAGCCCCTGGAGAGTGACATCCCCATCGCGTAAGCATGCCGCGCAGACCCTTGACACCTGTACGCAAGCTGCATGGAGTTTACAACAAGGTTGATGCGACAGCCCTAGTGGGCCTTGAGCCATGATGCAGGAGGTATTTTCTCACCTCCATTGACACATTTTTGCCTGATTTGCTTGCATTTAACCAGAATTTTGATAGGTTAAACGCATGTGACCATACCCATGTCTTGGGAGTTGGAGTGTCCAACCAACAGGCATATCTCAGCAGCCTGCAACATTCGCAAGCGCCGTCCCACCGCTTCATGTTCCCTTCCCCCTTATCACCATGTCTTAACCCTACAGCAAGTTGCTGCTAAGCAACCGTTGCGTATGTGCTGGAGTGTTGTTTTCACGTGGGCACAGCCTTCTTTTTAGTGGCTGCGGGGTCATATGGCTGCTCATTGTTTTCCTGCACGTGCCGCAACGCAGTTGCCTTGCGCATGGTAGCAGCCATTGGATGTTATTGTTACAAAATACCATGATCCCTTGTGCGTGCAGGTTGCGACAAAGATTTGGCTCCTGCCCATTTGTAACTTTACTCATGTACAAAGCAGTACAAAGGGTGTTGGCGAGCGATCAGCAGGTTGCACTCTACAGTATCTAGTATGTGCTGGTTGGTTTCTAGACTGTGGGAATGTACTGGGATAGTAGTGTGTTGAACCATGCATGCTGTGCACATGCTGTGCACAAACACATCAACACTGCTATAATCATATGCTCTGCCACGGTCAGGACAGGTTGACACTGGCCAAAACTATGGCCTGTGCGCAATCAATGCACGGCACTCCTCTTGCCTATGAACGCGTTGTGTGTGCATGAATGTACCTCGCGTCTGCTGAAGTGGTGGAGGATGAGTCTGAGTTCAGGCTAGGATGTCTGCAGTCTGCAAGGGACCACAGTCCAGTTGGGCTGGACATCGCCATAATGAGGCCAGGGCCGCAGCCGGCTGCGGCAGCAGCAGCAGAGCTTCTTGGCGGAGCGGTTGCTAGTACATGCTGGCAGGCATGTAAAAAACCGCCCTGCTGGTGCAGGGGGCCCCCTGGGAAAACTCCAACCTCGGCCCTAGTTGCCGGCCGCGGTAGGCACGCAGCTTGCACATCTGCATGCGCTTGCGTTTCACAACTTCACCAGCAGACATCGCGTGAGGGGAGCAGGCAGGTACGTATATGGTACAATAGCTGCCACGCGGATGTTGTCTTTCAAGTGGGTCACCAGGGAGGCCTCCCATGCTTGTGCGTCAGTCACTGCATCACTGTGATGCAGGAAGACACACCTCGTCAACGGCGCAATCTGAAGCAACAAAGCACAAGTTGGGCTGCGTGCCTGCGATGCCATTGAAGTCGCATGCACCCTGCGATGGGAATCCAGCGGGTGCAACATGTTCGTGGTGACAAGAGATGGTTTCGCGCATTCTGTTCCGCGGGTTCCAGCTGCATTGCATGGGCTGCTTCAATCCTTGGATTAACTCAACTCCCAGAAGGCGCACGCGCCACCGTTTTGGTGGCAGCGGCGACGATGCCGTTGCTCCATGCAACCTGCACCCCACCCCTGCTGGCCGCCCCAGGACGACGGCACCCCGGTGGCGGGGCCTTCAAATAGATGCTTGGGCCACCACTCACTGCAATTGTGTACGCGCCCATCCGCTCGAAAAGTAGCCAGTCCCCCGCCCGCAGCCGCGGCAGCATCACGCCCTTGGCCAGCGCGTCAAAGCTGTCGCACGTGGGACCCCAAAGGGTCGAGCTGCACAGGGGCTGTGCCGGGACATCGGCCGCTTTTGGGTTGTCGCTGTCACGGGCAGTGGGGCCGCTGCAGGCAGCGCGCACGTCCTTCTTGCCTTCACCCACAGGTGGCAGTAGGGGAGACCGCAGCAGTATTGGCTTCGGGACGTAGTCATCCAGTAAGATGCAGTTTAGTGAGCCTGGGGTTGAGGGGTTTGGTTTGTGAGGGGCGCAGTGGCTGCAGGCGCGTCAGAACTCGTTGCCCAAGACACACTGACCAATCGTGCAGCAGACATCCCGGCCCTGCCCAGCCCTGTCCAGGTGTGCCACAGCCAACTCTCCTCCGCCAACCCAAGGCTGCCTGTGCTGCCTGCCGTTAAAACAAGTTGGCGCCCTTGCTATGCATACTTTCAAGAGGCCCAGCCCCCTCAGCCGCCCACCGTAAACTCCATCGCTCAGCCAGTACTCCAAGCCCGCCCCGTCGCCCCCCGTGCACCTCTCCCTTACGCCGTTGACCCGCACCGCCAGCACCGCCGACGCCTCTGCAAAGTAGCGCCCCGGCTCCGCGATCAAACGCACGCCGCCCTCAACAGGAAAATGGGCGTTGACCGCTGCGTTGACCGCTCTGGCTATCTCCGAGATCACGACGCAGCCCGACTGGTCAAACCGTCCCGTAAACCCGCCCCCGATGTCAAGGAGTCGCATGTCATGGCCTAGTGCCAGGCCCTGGTCAAAAGCTGCGCGCGCGGACGAGATGGCGCGCTCAAAGGCACCCAGGTTCTTGCAGCTGCTGCCGACGTGGAAGGAGACGCCGACGACACGCAGGCCGAGTGACTTGGCAGCAGCCAGGAGGCGGTGCGCTTCTGACGGGTCTGCGCCGTACTTGAGGCCCAACGGCACTCGCGCCTGGTGGGGTGACGAGGTGGTTCTTGGGGTAGTAATTCAAGCAAAAGGGGGGGGGGTTCTGGGGTCGGCTTGACAGCCCACAGGCTGCTAAGGTGCAAGCACCGACAGAGGGCACCTCTGCGCATGCAGCCAGCCAGCCTGGTGCCGGTCCTCGTTACCAAGAGCCCGATAGCTTGGCAGGCAGCTCAAATGCATGCTGCTTTTTGAGCTGTCCAAAAAACAAGTCCTGCCAGCACACACGCATGCAGCTGCCATCCTGTGGTTGAACCACCTGAAACCTGTCTGGCAGACGCCTTGCCCGCACCCCGCCCTGCACGCAGTCGCACAACAGCACATACCTCCGGATCGTCGCAACGCAGCCGCAGCACCAGCTCCGCCGTCGGCCACAGCTCCTGCACCTTTGACAGCTCTCCCTCGCAGTCAAAAGTAGTCAAACGCACGCCCGCCGCCGCCGCAAACCGCAGGTCGAGCGGGCGCTTGCAGGGGTGTGCGAAAATGATCCGGTCCTGCGGCACACCCAGCGCCATCACAGCCTCCAACTCGGCCTTGGACGCGCAGTCAAAGCCGGCTCCCAGCGCGGCCAGCAGGCGCAGCAACGCCGGCTGGGGATTGCACTTGACGGCGTAAAAGGGGGCGACTCGCGGCATGGCGGCAGTCCAGGCGCGGTAGAGGCGGACTGTGTTGCCCAGATCGTACACAAATGTAGTGTCTTCAAGATTGCGCCCCTGCAGTGATGGGCACATCCAATGGGTGCATTTTGCGCTGTGGAGGTTGCCGGAA